GGCAGTGCCGTCAACCGTCTATTGCGATATCGCTTGAGATGTTACCCATTTTGCGACTGAAAATGAGCTAAAACATCAAATCCTACGATTGTGAAGGGAAGTGTCAACTACAAAAAGTGCTGATATGGTACACGTCAGCCAAAAAATGAACCCAGTCAAACTTTGAGAAAGCACGCTGGCAAACCACCCTCGTTTTTACAGATACATGCCGTAATTTTGATGTATTTAGCACAAATGCAAAAAATGAAAGCACTGTAACGGCACTTCGTGTACATGCTTGCAGCATAATACCCATCACCATTCTTCCTCAAATCGTACTCCTCAACGAGGGAACGAGACCTCGACCGGAACCGGGAGGTCAACAGGTACGATAGGATCATTCTGCATTTTGCAACCTCGGACTCACACGCGGTTGAGCAACTTCATCAAACGCTTTCGCGACCATTTCGATATGATCCGGTCAAGACTATTATTCTTGTTGGCTGCTATTGCAACCACCAGCACACAAGCCATCGATTGGACCTTTTGGAACAATGACGACGATTCGACCCCTTCACCCGCGTCGTCCGATACGTCGATATCAGAGACCCTGTCTCCAGAAACACTCAAAAGTATGATGGGGTCGGATTATCTGGACCGTGTCAAGTCTTTGATTAACTCTGGAAAGGGGTCTGATGTCGGTTCCTCGTCAGGCTCAGCTTCCGAGCCGCCTGCTTCCATAATTTCGTCATCTGCCTCTTCGGACGATGACTCTGCATCTACTGCTTTGTCACTGTCGGGATCCTCTACTTTGGACTTGCCAATTCCTTCAATGGACGAGATCGCGACTCCTTCGACTGCCGTTACCAACTTTAAATCGACCTACCGCAACTGGGTGGGACCTTGGACTCAGTCCTCGGACTCGGCTTGCTATCGCGAAGCTCACTTCATGAAAAAGTGTCCGAGCAACTATGACCGTAATGAATTAACCAACACGTGCTGGACGGAGTGTCCGATGGATTATCCCGTGGAATGTGGCATGCAGTGCATCCAACAGAACAATGACTGCGGTCGTGAGAACGTTGCCAAGATTTCTGCCGTTGCCATGTCCGCCCTGAGTATGGCCACCTTTGGTGTGTTCGGTCAATTGGCAAAGTATGGAAAACACGTGACCTGGGCCGCTCGATGTGCCAATTATCTCATGACTTTCACGAGAGCTGTCGTGCGTTTCACGCGTAACCAAATGATCAACGAACCGGAGACTTCGCAGGAGAAACTACTATTGCTACTATACCAGACCAATTACGTCGTCGCTGATCTTCCTGGTACCATCTATGCGTGCTCAGGCAAGACTGTGCCGGCAAGTATCACATTAACACGCCAGATACTGCCCACTGCTCAGTTCCTCCTTTTGTTGGTGCTCAGCTATGACGACGACATTATTAAAAGTTGGGAAAAATTTAAGGCTTTCATGAAAAGGGCCAACTTTACGGAAGCCGCAGAACAAATTACGGAGGAAGAGATCTCAAGCTTGGAAACAGCTATGAAGCAGAACTCCACATGCGGAGACGACCTCAAGACGTTGACCAACCAGGTCTGGATGACGGTGGACGAGTACAGGCAGAAGAATCCTAAGATCAGCGAAGCTGAACTCCGCTTGAAGTTAAGCGAGTCTGATCTTATATTATACGACATCCCGGCGGTAACCAACAACTGTATGACCAAAATGATCTCCGAGTCTACGGTGGCCACAGCGTACAAGACACGCGACACACTTCGCAAGACCTATGCAGTGATGATCGACGATCTCATCAAGTCTGGCAAGAGCGACAATGGCACATCCATGGCCACAAAGCACAGCGCTTATGTATGGATCGACAATGCTCTGACCTTTGCATCATTCGGTTGGGACCCGACGGATTTATCGACCCTGTTTGCAGAATACCTCCAGACCATTTGTGGCCCTACCCAGTTCATGGGTGAAATTGACGACGGGGATGAAGCAGCCACTCTGGGTATGAGCGCGCTTCACAAGGCTTTCAAGAACAGTACGCTGACTTGGACCAAGAAGGGCGACGGTGCTGTTGTTATTAACTTCAAGAGTAAGGACACGAAGGATGTGACCGTTAATATCATGTCCGGTGGTGACAAGATCGACGAAGTCGACCTTAAAGCTGGCGGCTCTGCACAATGGAGATCAAATATTACTGCACTTGGTGGCAAGACTCTGTACCTAGATCGTTGGCGTCCGGGGTTTCTCGGTCTCCCTGGCACGGGCGGTGGTTCGTTGGTATTGTGGGTACCCATTTCGCGCGAGGGTGGCCATTTGGAGCTTAATGCTCAGCTCAATGTGAGCTAGAAAAGCACTAAACTAGAGTAAGTATGCTGTTAGTCTACAGTAATGTCGTCGAAAAGGCGCCAGGAATACTATAAAATAGATCGCTCTTCAGATTTATCCTCGAAGGAAAACGCCTAGTTGGGTACTGCGCGATACATACAACAATTCAGGCCTATGGCGTTCTAATCAGTTTAATAGTACACATTCAACATCTACTGATCATGACTACCCTTATGCCTATGCACACATATCTTAAAACGTTGGACTGTATTCCGGCTTCAGATTTGGTATGCTGCTCGCCTTCTCAGTTGTAGACTGTCCACGCGTACCCAAACCTTTTTT